TGTAGCTGAACAGTTCCAAAGTTTGGGAAATTGTTTCAGTGCTGTAGACAAGCAATGATAGTGGTAATCACGTAGGAGAAAAACTAGGTAAACTTGAGAGAATGGAGAGATGGAATGCCCAAGAGATGGTTATTGATGAGCCCTGTGGGACTCCCAGGATCTGGCAAGCAACTTAGTGTGGTCGGGAGATCTGCTCCTTATGAATGAAGTGATGTTTATTTAAACTGGGACATCTTGAGTTGAGAGAGAGAGACTTAGCTATATGAGGCTGAAACTCAGGAGAGAGATAGGGCTTGGAGATAGCAGAGAAGCAGGAGACATCAATAGGAGATGGAAAGCGAACACAGCGGGGAAGTGATCATGGGGAGTAGGAGAGTGAAAAAAGAGAAAAAATTTTATGTCAGTCATTGTGGAGCTTGATTTTATTAAATTTCCCATTACCTTTTGAATTTCTTATGTGCAAATTGTCTGATGTGTGTAAGTCATCTTTCCAACATAACTGTGAGCTCCACGTGGCAGAACTAGTTTATAATCCCCATATATAGTAAATATTTTTTAAACAAACCAAAAATAAGTTCTTAAAAAATATATTTGACATCAAAGATGTATCCGCCTTGGGGCATAATATATAAAGCTAAATTTTGGCAACCCCAGATATATAGAAATATATATACTCTATGATGTAAAATTCCTTTTCACTATGAGACAAATAAGAGTCAAGGGCTTGATATAATGCATACCTAAGTGGAAAACACATTGGCCTCTTAATAATAACTTTGATTTATCACTTTGTTCTTCTCTGATAAAAAATTATGACTTTCAATGTAGCATCTGTTAAGAATTTTTCATGGATATATTTATTACATCATATACTGACTAGATTTCTTAAAGAATGCTAGTAGGACTATGTCTTAATTGAATGTTTTAAATGACATTTAAAAATGACATTTTCTTTTCACTTCTTAAATTATACCTTTTTCTAATTTTCACTTATGAATCATATGGAAAATAATAACAGAAATAGACTACTGATCCTAGTTGGTAGTCCCTAAGGAAACTGGTTTTTAAATATTTAGGAAAGTAAAAGAGAGAAGGGAATTCTCTAATTCTAATTCAGAAACAATACAACATACATGATAAGGATGAGTTTAGCCTGTATTTCACTAACTTAAGAAAATGTTTCAGACTTGGCTCATTTTAATAATGTGCAAAAAATAATCTTCTAATTTAGTGTAGATTTAGTAAGATTTTCCAGATGTGCCTTACTCTTTGTTAATTTCAAAATTTAGAAAACAAACCAGAACTTGCACATTTTCTCTTTACCCCCAGCACACATTCCTCACTTTATTTCCCACAGAAATTAGGAATTGTACTGGAGTCTGTACCTTGCCATTATAAACTGGTCCCATTTGGGGGCACTTCTCCTTCCCCTGATGAAGTATAATGAATAGAAATAGGCTTATTATTCTTCCACTTATAGTTTTCCACATTTTCTCATGGTTTTAAAATTTCATCTTATGCAGAACTTTTTTACTTATATTTTCCTAGTATGTAGTCATGTTTGTTGCGCCCAGTACATCAGAGATGCTCACACCATTCTCTGAGTAGTTTAAAAACTCATTCTAACCACTTTTTATTCTTTGTATTCAAACCAGTCACTGGCAATAGCTCTAAGTAGGTCATTAACTCTCCTCCATGTCTTCTTTCTATTTCTGTCACAGACTCACTTCTTCCCTTTAAAATTCATGGAAAGAAATAAGGGTCTGAGTCCTTAGAACCTCAAAAGGCACGAGGATAAAGCTTTCCTGGAGATAATATAAGTGGTGGCAAGAACATTTGGGAGCCAGATGATACACTTTTCCTCTTAGAGAAACTCTGTGGAAGCTTTCCCTACATTGTGGGAAATAAATTCTAGATACTGGCTTCTTCCTGTGGCAAATATGTGGGTATGTGGGCCCTTTGAAATGCTATACCAAAATGTGCTTTAAATATAGTTTAGTTATAAAAATTTATGGGTGACTATACATGTGCTAACCACAGAGGCTTCAGAGATAAAACAGTTCTTACCCTAGTGTTGCTTAGAATCTAGCAGTAGTAAGTAATAATTACTAACATATGTATTTACTATATACCCAATACTATGGTAAATATTGTACATAGATTATCATATTTAGTAGCCCTTAGCTGCTAAAAAAAAAAAAAAAAAGATAAAGATGCCCAGTCTAGAATCGTATAATTATATGGTAAACACTAAAATGGTGGTATGATCCTGTTGCCATGGAAACACAGGGGCGGGGCCCTCAGCCCACTCTAGGGAGGAGCAGATTACTGAGTGGTGTCTTTAACTGGTAATTACATGAAGAAGAGGTTGGGCCACCACAGGCAGAGGAAGGACCACAGCAGAGCATAGCAGTATGCATTTCTAGGGTGTATAAGAAGAATTAAAGCAGATTGGTTTTGCTAGAACTAAAGATGTAGACAAAAGTTAGTATTATGTAGGAACTTTGATCTGATGTTTTTAGCCATTAGGCATTGGCCATCTGGTGGAGAGCTGTTGACAGACCACAAGCAATTTTGAATTTTAAAAAGATAGGCTCCGTGGTATAGATAATGATGGCAGGAAGATGAGATGATAGACATAGACAAACAAAGAGGTTATGGAAATAATCCAGGCAAAAAGTCAAGAAGGGCTAGGGTGGATAGGAATATATCACAGTATTCTGGTATGCTAGAGGAGTTTATTTGAAATGTTTAACTTGATGCATAATAGGTGAGTGAAAACTAAACTACCAGATTCTCAACTCTCAAACCCATTGCTGGGTCAGCAGTACTAACTTTGAACTACAGTATTGAAATGAAACTGATTCTACCTCATGTTAGAAATTCTACATTCATAAAGGACAAAAAAGGAAATGTTATAGTCAGCCCTAAATTATAGTCAATTATAACTATTTTCCTCAAAATTGGTCTTACCTATGTTTAGTGGTAAGAATTGATTGTTTAATATAGGGAAAAATACCTAAAATTGGTGAGATAATTTGACTCGAATTCCAGAAAAAAGGGAAAATTAGATAGTTGTGCATTCAGAAGAATTGACAATATTTTAAAGACATTCACATAAACACACACACAAATAGATTCTTCACATTTACTTGTACTCCAAAAACAGAAAACTATTGAAAAGAATGAAGTATGGCAACAAAGTACATTAAAAAAAAAATAACTAAAACAGTACCAGAATTTTATTTGCTGCTGTAGAAATTTACTCAGGTGACTTTCTGAGACTGGCATTTGGAGAAAGATACCAGAAATGTAAATAAAGTAATCATTATCCTTTGTCTTCAACACCCAAAACCCCTAAAGTGACAAGAACAGCTATAATTAACAATGTAAAATTAAAAAGGGAACATTGACATATCATCTATTAATATTCAATATAAATATTAACCCATGGTAACTTACAACTAAAAGTATTTGGAGAGCACATGCCTGGTTAAGTGTAATACATGTATGACAAATCCAGTTCCACATAACTGTTTAATAATATCTGATCGTTGGAATAGCCAAGGTAATTTTAAAGTATGAATAGAAATACATTCAGCTTGGCTTGAGCAAAATTAATAAAATCCTTTAGGTAAAATAGCCTTGAAAATCATATATTGTCCTTGAGAAGGAGTGAATGTGGGACTTGTCCTACATGGGCGGAAGGAGGAAAAGTGAAAGCAGTAATTCCTCTTCCCTTCCTTCCCCTCCCTAACATTCCCAGCTCTTTGTTTAAAACCACTGAATATTGTCATTAAGCATGTGATGAAACTGAGGTTGCTGTCCCTGTCAGGGCAGGGATCCAGGGTCTTTCAGGACATTTCTGCTGTCATTTTCATATAGCTACGTCCCCATGCCAACTAGAATTCCTTTGGTAATAATTCTGAAACCACTGATGGGAAGTGGAAATTTCCTGGAATCCCTGAAATGGGTCATAGAACTTCATTAATTAAATAATTTCCAAGGTCACTCTAAGCACATGTTTTGTACCCTATTTTATTTTTCCTCCAAAATTATGCCCAGACATCTTGTCCAAAATAGTTTATAAGTGGCTCTATGATGAGATCACATAGAAAGGTTAAGTGAGGTAGTTAACTAGGGGCATAATATCCACAGTGCCCCAAAAAGGTATTTCTAGGTCCTCTTACTGTGGAAGACCGATGCCTAGGACACCTGCCCCCAAGAGTTTTCTCCTTTATTTATAATTATACAATCCAAAGCCAACTTGAGAGCATCTTATCAGGAACATCTCAAACTCATGACATGGTAATCCAAGCTTGACCCCTTCAATTTCCTCCTTATCTAGCAGAGCAGGATTTGGGGTCAGCCTAGCTAGGTCTATTTACCTTGAATTGACTACTTAAAGCTAGACCATCACAGAAAGCTCAAGCATCTTGCAGTGTAAAAGTACTGATTATTGTTCTTGCCAGCAATTACTAAAAGGCCTGTGTATGGAAATACTCTCTTTCCTTTTCATTGGAATCTTCTCTACTGAGGCCCCAGCTGACCGCAGTATATGTGCTAAGGTCAGAATCTATAGAATCCAAAATCAAGCCACAGCAGCTCACACTCTCAAACCCTGACCATTTGGCAGTCCTCTCTCACAGGCTTCTTCTTTGCTGAGGCCAGTGAGACTGGAATTTGCTTGCTGGGCTATCAGCATCTGGTTTCAGCTGAGGGCCTTGTGTGTCTAGCATTTGGTTGGAGGGCCCTGAATAGCTTACCTCCAAGGACTGTGCCTTTGCTGATGCTATGCAGGCTCTGCTTGTTTGCTGAGGTGACCAACCCATACCTTTGCTGGGTCCCTGGCACAGTATGCTGACTATCTAGTACATCTAGCAATACCTCTGAAAACAGCCATTCATTTTTAGACAGAGCCACCATAAACTGCAATGATTCACCAACATAAAAATACTATGATACCGTGTGGCCAGTTTAGAAAAACAATTTTTTTTAATCTAAAAAGATGGCAGTACTTTCCACCAACAGCAGTTCTAGAGAGAGTTGACACTTTGGGTCTGAGTGAGAAACAAAAACAAAAAGTGCTGATCCGTACATGAAGGTTCAAGTCCCTGCATGAGAACCGCTCTCCCCAGTAGTGCTGAATTTCTGCTTCTCATGGATTTGGCCCAGTGTACTAGTGTCTAACATTCCCCTTAATTTAATTTCTCCACTCAAATTGCAGAACACTGCCACAGGGAATGGTTCTTTCTGTCAACAGAAGACCAGAAGCAGAGCCGAATGTAGGATATGGTCTCTGGAAGCAGTCTAGCTTCTGAAGGCAAGGGATGAGAGAATGGACTGGGCTGGACCATGCATGCCCAATTTCTCCTCTCAAATAGGGGCCAAAACCTAGGAGCATTACATTAAAAGGCCTGCCTGGACATAAAAGCAAATTCAGATTGAGTAGTTCCTTTCTCCCATAATTATTATTATATATCAGCAAAATCTTATTATTTGGAATACAGTAAGTAATTTGGCTGAAAAACATCTGATTTGTGAAATAATTGAAAAGAAAATATTGCTATTTTATACTAATACCAAACATATGATTTGATTAATTAGAAGATTCTTTAAATGAGTAACTTATGTATACAAATCAATGTTTATTTTAAAAATGTTTTTCATTCAGAATATTCTTAGGAAAAAATAATGACTTACAAAGCATTTGCTTATTTGTTTAAAAAAGTAAAATTCATAAATTGCAAATTGCCTATATTTAAGTAGTTGCCTTTTCACCGTGTACTTTAAATGAAAAGTAGAGATACCAACTCTATAGAGGGTTAGGGGGATAACCCAGGTCCTTTATCAAATAGTAATATAACGAAGAACTAAATAAAACTGTAGTTCCCGGCGGAGACTACTGACGTTTGTCCTTGTGGCAGCCCCTTCTTCTCATCCAGTTGTTTTGCCCAGGGTGGGTGCCTTGCCCATGGGACCCCTCTCCAGTGTGTGTTCATTGAACACCCACTGTGTGTTGGGCAAATGCTGACCCCTCCCTTCCCCAGGTCCTCCATATGGTACTGCAGGGTGTAGTTCTTTAGCCCACTGGCTCATTCCTTCTGTCAGCCAACTGATGAGAGGAATCCTATCAACTAACTAGTGATGAGATGGTAATTATTTTGAATAGCTTGTTGTACTCTGAAGTGCCAGAGTTTTCTCATCTCCTGTGTAAATACACTTTAACCCAAAAGAATGAATTTATGCCTTTATTCAATAAGAGATCTTTTTTTAAAAGATACATTCCCAGTTTTCCTCAACTCATTCTACAAGTACAGCCCCCTCACTGTTTTGGGATAGAATGCTGCTGGCTGGTTTGCACTATGTTTTTCTGACTACTAAGGCAAGGGAGGTTTATATAATGATACAATACCCTGTTACATTTATATGGAACTGGCCCATTTGTTATCATCCCTATTCAGCCTATAGAACTGTGGGGAATGTACTGTAGGATTTGGAGACTAATAAATTGGTATAGTTTTCAAATTGCCTTATAATTATACTAGAATAATAATTATGCTATACTTGTCACAATTATACTAGAATATTCTGAAATGTATGTACAAATTTGTGATGATTGTGTTAGGTGCTAGAATGTGACTAATTCATTGAGATCTTATCCTGAAATGTTTAAAATGAAGACTACATGATGCTTTTCTTCTGTTGAACTAGGAGCTGAAGCTAATTTTATGCTGAGAATTCATCCTCTGAAGAAATATCCTGTGGATCTTTATTATCTGGTTGATGTCTCGGCATCAATGCACAATAATATAGAAAAATTAAATTTTATTGGAAATGATTTATCTAGAAAAATGCAATTTTTCACCACTGACTTTCGTCTTGGATTTGGCTCGTACGTTGATAAAACAGTTTCACCATACATTAGCATCCATCCTGAAAGGATTCATAATCAATGCAGGTATCTAGGATTTGATGTGGATATACTCAATTAATTTTTTGCTCATAAAATTTCACTTTGTTTTTAATATAAAGAACATACCAAATTTTATAATTTTATATAAAATAATAATAAAAATATTTGGTGAGGTGGGGAGGTTTGTTCATATCTGGAAATATCTGAGATGACCTGTAGATTAGGCTTTTTGTTTTATATTTCTTCAAATATTTAGTCAGTTTTTATCATCAAAAAAAAATCCTACCTAATGTTAGTAACTTTGAATAAACCATCAATAATTAGTCTGCAATGTATATAAATACCTCTTTGGAAATTCTGTATTTTTATTTTTTGATTGCTCCAAAATTATTGAATTATGGTTTGATACACTTTAAAGAGTTTGTGCCCACGTTTCATCTGTCTCTCCGTCACTGTGTTGTGACTGTGGATAATGTCGCCTATAATGTGACTATAAAGCAAGCTCAGCTGTCACAAAGAAAGTGGGTCAAAAGATGAGAATTTGACTGCTTAGAAAGACCCTTTTTTTCTTACCATTTTAGAATTCTGATTCTAAATAACATACATCCCACTATGAAAGAAGAATTAACCTTAAAAATACAATCTCACACAATATTGCCATTAGCCTGTAGAATTTTCAGTAAAGGAAATCTGTATGGATCTTTTTTCATAAAAGACTTTATCTTTCTTGCTTCTACAAATTGCTTAGATTACCTTACAATATGTATTCCAATTTACCAAAACGACTCTGTCATCTCTTGTACCAGAACAAGATTGACACATCCACTAATGGAGTTTCATAAGCCTTCTTGAGGTGAATGTGCCAGAGGAATCATTCTTACTTTCTGGATATCATGGATTCTCAAAATAACTTTCATGAATTTTGATTGTTCATCAATAATTCTACCAAGTATCATTTTAAAAATTAGTACAGTATTAAAAACAAAACTGTAATATGATATTTCAACTAAATTTCCCAAAAACCTTTTCCAAAAGGGTTTCTCAGCTGTTCAATGATAAGAAATCACTGCACATTCTTATATTCACCTTAAAAATTCATGGTGCAGATTAAATATTGAAAGCCCTTAATTGTTCTATATTTAAAAACACATTTAATCACCTTCATTTTTTGAATACCAAATGCTTATAGTCTTATTTCCTACTTGTCCAGAAATTGTTATCAATATCAAACTTCTCATTTCATAAGCACACACTTTTGTCTTATAATATTTCCCTGGCACAAAGAAGTACTCCGTTTTCACACAACTGAGCAACTTTACTGTTTAGTATTCTAGAATGCTTAAGAAAAAAGAGCAAAATTTTACAAAATTTTACACTTCTTCTTTTCCCATATAGTGACTACAATTTAGACTGTATACCTCCACATGGGTACATTCACGTGCTGTCTTTGACAGAGAACATCACTGACTTTGAGAAAGTAGTTCACAGTCAGAAGATCTCTGGAAACATAGATACACCAGAAGGAAGTTTTGATGCCATGCTTCAGGCAGCTGTCTGTGAAGTAAGACGTTTTCATGTTATTGAGTGTTGGCTAAGATGCAAAACTTTCAAGGCATTTAGAACTGTTATTGTCCCTTTGATTTGTGAAGTAAAAACATAGTGCAGAAGAATACATATCTTACTATCTCTTACTCCGCACCAAGGTGATTCATTTTGGTGTGTATTTGGGACAGAGGGGCTAAATTTGGGGAGGGATTTAAATAGGAAAAGATAAAGGAAAAGAATAGGTTAAGCACATGAAAATTCTTTCCAAAAGCATTGCTTTTCTCATGCACCACACTCCAAAGAACTAGAAGTAGACGGTTGTCCTCCTTACTTCAGCTTGTTTCCCTACTTTTTATTCTATCTGATTCTTCCTCCACTGGAATACTAAAAATCTCTAATGAGGAACTAGTGTGGTCACATGGCTGTGGGAAAACAGAGGATATACAAACAAAAGTTAAAGCTATTTATGCAGCAGCATTATATCCATGCACATGGTTCTAGCCTGACTTGATTTTCCTCAACTCAAACATAATGTTTACTTGAAGTAAAAACCACAGTACAGATCTATGTTATTGTACAAAGTCTAATTGCATGTTTATTTTTAAGAGTCATATTGGATGGCGAAAAGAAGCTAAAAGATTGCTACTGGTGATGACAGATCAGACATCTCATCTTGCTCTTGATAGCAAATTGGCAGGCATAGTGGTGCCCAATGACGGAAACTGCCATCTGAAAAACAACGTCTACGTCAAATCGACAACCATGGTAATGTAGCTGTAGCCTCTTAGTAGATATGACTCTTTTGGTTAAAGAACAATTTTTAATTGGTAACTCAACTATTTTTGTACCAGGAAATTAACTACAAAAGAAAGATACAGAACAAGGATAAGCTATGAGAGAGAGTTTATGGAGCAGTGCAATCTATAAATACTGATCAATAATATATATCACTAAAATACTTTGACAGTTTTTAATAGCTGACTTTTTGATGAATGACAAAGTACTGTATACTTTTTGAAAATAAAAATGATATAAGATTTTACTTTTTATATAATTCAAGGACAGGGGAAAAAGCATACCTTTGCTTTATAGAAATAGACCAATTCTACAGGGTCGGTATCTGCAGACATTTTAAGTAGAAAACCTCACAGTACAATAGGTAGAAACTAAAAAGAAACCAGGAAAAAAAGATAAGAGAGAAAGAGAGTAAAACAAGGTAGGCTTTCTCTACTTTGTACCTTACTTCTCTCTGCAGCTTAGCTATTTAGGGACTCTTTTTAAATCAGTGAATACCTGGCTTGCTTCCTGAGGGTTAGTATAAGCCCTAAATTATGTATTTAATATAATCACCTAGAACCACATCTCCCCTGGCATTAGCTAATTCTAGTTAATAATTAGAATCAACAGCCCAAAGCATCATTTACTTTTGATGTTGACATTTATATATTCTTGCAAACGTTAAGACAGTGCTCTTAAACTTTCTCAGTTCAGAAGTCCCTACTGTCTCAGTGATTTTTTTCATGGCACCCATTGGCCTAAAGAAATACCTAATAGTTCTGTTTTTGAGTGGTTAAGTCAAAATAACTCAACTATTTATGTCTTAACAACTTAGTAGCTCCTTAAAAATAATACAAATGTATCAAGTATAGAGAGACATGTTTCAGTTTTAGTAAGTAACTTAGGAGAAATTTTCAAATTCTTTAGTCAGATTGGACATTATTACTCTCATTTCTTCTTCCATGTTGATTTTCAGGTTGACTAGCTTGGCAAAAATTAATGTCATTTAAAGGAATAGGACCAAATGTAATCTGAAAACTATGAACTCCCTCCAATCAGGTTGTTCATTGCTACCTGATACATGCTGAATGTCATTGTGTTTCTCCTAAAGATTTAAATTACTTTCTGCCACCCTTGGAAGTGTGCTGCAGTGCACCAAGACACCTCACACACAGTTTGGGAATCATAGTATCAGAAGGATGAAAATTATGCTGAAATGTATGTGGTTCCCATGGGTAAATTTTAAATAGATCACCAGTTCATCTGCAACACCCTACCAGATTTGTTCAAAGTCTAGAGAGGCAATTGTATTACCATACAAAACGAGTTCAACTCTTGGTCATTTTAGTTTCTTGCAAGTAGTATCAAAATATAAAGATTTTAAAAGGTAACTAGAGATTGAATTCAAAAACTGAAGAATTGGAGTTATTCCAATAGTATCTTTCCATTTACTAATTGTCTTCTATTCAGCCTTATTTTACTTTGACAGACCCACCTACTTCTATTTAGTCATTTCTTATCTATCATTCCTTCTATTTAACCTCTTTTTGCTCAGTGATAGAGTTCTAATTTATTTATTGGGGAATAGAAGAGGGTACAGGAAGAATTATTCTATTGTAAGACAAAGAGAAAATTTTTATTTTTTAAAGAAGAAATAACAATAACATTAGTCTTAAATTGTATTATTCTTTTGAAGTTTTGCCAAGTCACTGAAGTCATTTCTCTATAATTGTATTTGAAACGATACTATTGCTCATCTAGGGAGGATTTCCTAGGCAAAGAAATGCTGTCATACTTTTAGGCAGATACCATGTTATAGAACCTTATGGAAATAAGTTATAATTCCTGTGGAATTTTAGATAGGGCTTGGATTCTTATGACATCAGGAAATTGGATGATTACATCAAAAACTTTTTTTACCTTCTTGGTCATTGTTTCCAGTCAAGGAAATGTAAAGGAATGACCCTCCCACATGTCACTGCTGTCATATATTGAGTAATCCAAGGAATAGTGTTTGTTAACACCTTAGAAGGATACTTTTATTTTATTTACACCAGGTCTTTGTTTTAAGGGATTATCTTCCTAAAAATTCTGATTCCATTTGTAGGGTCACTTCCTACATATTAGGCCAAAGAAGCTGAAGCATTTTGATCAATCCCTTGGCCAGAAATTTATATGTTCAAGATTTACTGCTGCTTTGGAACCTTCTATATCTAAAGCTACCTTGACCTTGACTCTAGGCATATTTTTTATTTGTGCATTTTAAAATGACCTCTATCCTCTCCTATTTGGCCATTATGGAGGAATTTTAAATTTTGTATAAGACAAGTAATCAAACACTTTGCTTCCTGGCTTTATCTCCAGCAGCCGATACCAGTAATGTTGAATGGTATCTGAGCTTCTTAGTTCAAGGCTCTGAACCAAGATTCCTGAGTTTTTTATTTATAAAAGGAAATAATTGATTAAAAAAAAAACCCTTTATATGTCTAAATTACATGGGACAGAGTTCTGTTGCTTGTACAAGTAGTCATTTCCTGGAGATCAGTGTGAACCCTAGACAAATAACAACTCCCATTTATTGAATATGTATTCAACTGAAAGCACTGTAGCAACCACTTTGCATACAGTTACAAATCAATCCTTACAGCAACTCTACAATGTAGTCATAATTAGCCTCCTTCTACAAACAGAAGGACTGAGGGTCAGAAACGCTAAGTAAGTGGCCTGAGGATAAACAGCTAAAACGTTAACAAATTGCAGACCTGGTCCCAATCTATTTCAATCTTATATTAAAATCTACGTTCTTTACTTTGCCACAGTCTATTGACCGAAACATAGAAGAAAAAAATAATAATGTTCCTGTTGTCATTCCTTCTCTTTCCGGTTGCAGTCTTACTTACAAAAGTATAACCCAGATCATTTGACTTACATAAGTTATAAAACAATATATAAAATAATTTATATTTACACATTGTGATACTTGTCTATGGTTGCTGGCAAATGATGTTACACTATTGAATAAATTTCATTTTCCAATGATTTTTCCTCAAGATCAAGTGCCAGAATAAAAAAAACTTTAGCAGTAGTATAGTTTCATAATTTACCCAGTAATAATGACAATTTGAGATGTGATATTCTATTTTAAATGGCAGATGTTAATACAAAAATTATTAATGGCATAGAAAATAGATTATTAATACTGAGGGTCTGGAATTTCACCCTGTCTCCCCACCCAGCTTCTCCAGGGCTATTTCCACCCTGAGTCAGAGCCCTCCCAGAAACTGTTCACCCAGCCCTTGGCAGAGGCCAAGAATAGCATCAGGATCTTCAGTAACAATGAAAGGAGACCAAGGAACAACTACGTGGAGGTCATCCAATGAACCTTATCAATGGGATTTTCAGATGTTGATGTGACTCACAGTTTTAAATAGAGAGAATCAAATTGGCAAGATCCTACCACATTCCTATTTTATGTACTAGTGCACACCATATATTCACTAGTATTTACTAGTTTAGGCTTGGTGTTTTTCTCTGCAGCCTTTTATATATGCATCATCACATTATGGCCAGTGATTTTTTTTTATGCTTTCTATCATGTAACTTCTCAGAATCCCCTTACTGCTGGCTTCGTAGTTTATTCCTTTCCCTGCAGGCTCATTTGGGTAGATTAGCCGCCGAATAGATCAGCATCATATAGTATCTAAGCAGAATGCAGAAAGCATGCTAGGCATTACTCAACAGTTTTGCTTTCTCATGGGCAAAAATAGTCAACACCATGCCTCTCCTCATGCAACTTTAACATGTACTTGACTTGTACTTAAGTATGCCATTGAGGAAGCTTTCTTTCTGCTGTGAATCTTAACTATTTGGAATTACACTTAATTTTTCCAGGACTACTGATAAATAAAGAGATCTTAAGAAGCTAGTTTACTAATGTAATCTGTAACTTTGCTACCCGAGTTAACAAATGTTCAAAAAGCTATTTCATTTATTCCTTTTCCCTGAAAGGGATATTTCTGACATATTCAAAGTCTGGAAGACATTTGTAACTAATGCTGAGATCAGACAGAATTCCATGCAAGGAGATAATTGCAATCTTTTAGTAAAGAGATCTGTTCATTTTGTTTGCTGTTCCCTGACAGAGACATGACCGTTTCAGCTTCAGAATATGTTAAATCTCTCTCTTTTTCTGCTCTCAGCTTCTTTGTCTTAGGCACATACTAATAAAAATGCAAATTCATTTTACGCTTATTTTGTGCCAGGTTTGGAATACAACTAGAAAGTTTTAAGCACATGTGCAGCTTTTAAAAACTATTGTTACATCTTTTGGGGAATTTAAAAACTATAAAGTGTCTGAGTTCAGCTTGTTGAATGATCTGCTTCAAATTGTAAACACCGTGAGAACATTTCAATAATAATTTTATAGGAGAACTAATTTGAATGTTTCTCATATTCTCAAAAAAGGTGGCCTGGAAAGGATCTCTGTAAACAAACAATATTTAGTTGGAATTGTCTTAATTGAAAGGAAAATTGCATGTAGAAATCACCTGTGCCAGACTCAAAGTGGCCCAGCTCTGCTTGCGTTAATACCTTTTAAATGGTATTGCAAAAGTGACACAATAAAATTCAAATTTGATACAAGTGTTAATGGAATGGAATATTCTCATTAAATTAGATGTTTTAGGTAAGTCATACTGAAGCAGAAAGCTTTTTGTTGCCATTATTATGGAAAAACTTAGAAAAAAAAATCAGTGCATGCCCTTCCTCAGTAAATAGAGTATCGTGATTACAACTGATGTCAACTTTGGCAGGGGCCACAAACGGAAACATGTCCAGGGCCAGGTAAGAGAGACGAGCAAGTGACATAGGTCAAGGAAAGCACATCCAAGAGCATATCCTGCCTTTAGGAATAGCCTCCCAGTGTCTGTTATGAAGCAATCTTTTGGTGAAAACTGTCTTTCTTGAGCAGACCTATGGTGTTTGTCTCTTCACGTTCATTTAACACCATTCAACATTCCAGTGAAATGTAGATATTGCTTTGCTTCTATTTTATAAATGAGGAGGAAAAGTGGTGCTAAAGGGATCAGAATCTTGTCTGGAGTCACACACCCCTACATAGCAGTGCCCATAGTAGACACTAAGCTTTGTGGCATGAACCGCTACTCATCATTCATCTTAATAACTACAGAATGACGATAAGTGAAAGGCTTTACACAAGTTAACCTATTTAATTTTCACCATCTGAATGTTTTTATACCTGCTTTATACCTATGGAAACTGGATTCCAGAAAGGTTCAGACAGCTGCCCAGGGTCACATAGCTAGTCATTGCAGAGCCGGCAGTTGACGCCCAGGTGATCTGTCTCCATAGCCCCTGCTGGTGGTGTGGTTCTCAGCTGCAGCTATTTTACCCTTCAGAGGACATTTTCATGTCCCAAGACATTGGCTGTCATAACTAGGGAAAGAGGGGGCTACTGGCAACTATTGGGTAGAGACCAGGATCCTGTTAAATATCCTACAATGCACAGGACAGCCCCTTTGTCAAATAAAAAATATATCCAGCCCAAACTGTCAATAGCACCACTCTTGAGAAACCCTGGTCAGTGCAGTTATCATGGTACAACTATGTAGATAAAAGATTAACTATCAGGACAGATGTTGACTGACACGTCATTTAAAGTTTCATCTCTAAATAAATCTCTATTTGATTACTTCTATGCTGTTTGCCTCTTTCCTCTAATAAATCATGCAGATAATTTAGGTTGTTATTTAAGTTGTTTGGTTTTTATATCTTATTACAATATTCCATATTAAAATTCTATATTCTATTTTTAAAAATTATACTTTGAATCTCACTTGTATAGAGAAACTTAAAGGCTTTTTTAAATCCATCTAGATATGCACGTTATTAAAATTCTACCATACTTCTGTACACAGTCATCTCTACCCAAAATTGCTCCCAAAGAATCTTACCTCTTTTTTCCTTCTGACATTTATAAGTTACTTCCCACAGCCTTAATTAGTTAACAGCTGTCTTGGCATATTGCTTTCCCTCTCCCTTTTACCCCTGACATGCTTGTTATCTCTATTAATTATTTTCAGAGTTAACAGAAACAATGTGTAATGGGTTAGACAGAGAGGGAGTTGGAGTTCAGGAGCAGTGAAATCACCAGAGCAGGAGAGTTGGCTGAGAGGGAGTGTGTCTCCTGCTAGTGAAGTAAAAGACATAAGAGATAAAATACTTTTTTGAAGATAGGCTGTTTCATGAAGGAAAGGGGAAGGGGCTTAGGCAATGGCCATTAGTCCACAGGTCTCCTGTCAACAGTGGTTTATTTAAATATCTGTTATAGATTCGTAATTCTTAAAAATATGCCTTGAGGTACTTGGAACTTTCGTTGAAAAGAGGTATCTCTCTAGGATTCAAAAAAAGATCTGTTTTTATAAGGTTGAAAAATTGACTTATCTTCTTAATAAGCTTCTGACCAAACTAGAACTTTCTAGATTTCAATGTTGTATACATTTGGTCAAAGTGACTTCCTGTTTTTGGAGAGGGAAAGAGATTAAGAAGTCTTCAAAAGCTGCTTACATCTAGAGTGTCATTTAAATATTGATTTTATGTGAGTTAAGGAAAAGCTGGTTAAAAACATGGATTACATTTTCCTTAAAATACAAATGTTTCTAAAAACTAAGAAGGGTGAATGGTTGGCAAGATGTGACTATCTTTTGTCAAAGCAAAAATGCTTGAAAAGTAGTTGTTACCATTTTAAAAAGTTTTCAATACAGCTAGATTTACCTTGCGTCTAACTTGTTCTCTGTATTCACTAGCATTATGCAAACTGCCATAAATATATTTTAAGATTATGCTTTTTATTAGGAAAAAGGAATAAGAATCTAGCTGGCAGAATTTGGATTTTTGAAGCTTTTTTCAATTACTTTAAAATTATATTCTTAAGAATTGCTGTGAGAAAACTTTTCTTATGCAGACCCACGTGTTAATGCTTTCTAAGCTTCTTCATAAGTTGGTTTCATATCTCATGTAAAGCCAACTCATGAAAATTTGATTTGTTTCTATCACAACAATTATAGATGATAGAGAAATAAAGTGTTATTTGTTACTTAGAACTTACATTATAAGTGTAACTAGTTAATTTAGCTCTTTTGCCAAGTTCACATAGTTGCCATAATACAGAAATGTTTACCAAGATAGTTTAACCAGATTTTCCCTTAAATAAAATACAGTTAATATTGGAGAGTTCAGTGGGAAACAAAAACTATGGAGTAATTTGAACTTAAATGTTATGATACTAATTGGGCTCAGTTACATACTAATCTTTGGCTTATGCCAAAAGGCACCGACGAATGAGGAGACTACCAGTGAACTTTTACGTCGTCTCTCTGTTAGGTATCTAGTTATAAACTTGTTATTTGAGACAATCAGTTTAATTTCTGGAAGACTATTTATAGAAAAAAAATACCAATAGTATATCTAACTATGTAACTGTTGATAGCAATGTATGTAATCATCAGATTTCTCATGTTCTCTAAATTTCATCCTCATTTTCCTACTCTTCTCTAACTTTCTCATTACCACAAAGAATGGCACAGTTGGCACTACATAAATTGTATTTGTCAAATTAACACAGGTATAAAAGATATCATACAACAAAAATACTGAATATAAGTTGAGAAATCTGTAATCTTTACCTTGTATAAGCAGTTGGAAATAAGAATCAGAACTGCTGTTAGTTTTGAGCATTTACTGCCTGCAAGAAATTACACTAAATAGTTCACATACTATTGTCATCTTTTTAATCTTGCCAGCAATTGTGGAAGGCAGGTATCATTTATGTGTTACCGAGGATGGAACTGAGAACTTTTGTTGTAAGGTGACAAACCTAGGACTTGAGTACAGGATTTTCTGCTTCTAAAGAGAGTTTATACTATATCATGTTACACATCAAATGTGTATATAGGTATATGTGGATGTTTGAAGGTATATTTGTATATATGTGTTTATAGGTATACACACATACATGCAGTTCAATATTTGTTACAGAATTTCCCCTTAGAATGTGATTGTCAGTAATGTGTCTCTATTTCTGAATATTTAATTCTCTGTCAGTTGCATCACTTGGAGTCTAATGTTAATCCACAGAGATGCTGATCACTTTTTATTAGTTATGTTGAATTCAGCTCTCTTCATCTTTTTAAGTTACAGATTTTTATGGGACTTTCGTATGTAAAATATTTTAATACATGGATATTGATGTTATTTTTTTTAATGTCAATGTCTCTAGTAAAACCATAACCCTTCTCAGGTACATTTTTATATAAGTCATACAGTTTTCTTCATAACAGATGTTTGAATATGCATGGAATGGAGCTGTGAAATTTCACTCCTTTCTTTATTTCATTATTCGTTACAGGAACATCCCTCACTAGGCCAACTTTCAGAAAAATTAATAGACAACAACATTAATGTTATTTTTGCAGTTCAAGGACAACAATTTTATTGGTATAAGGTATGTTAACTCTAAAAATGTGAAAATTAAAATTTTTTCATTGGTAATTGAAATTAAGAGATTTCTTTAGAGCCACAGATAAGGACTCTGGAATTATTATACTTTGTACAATCTAAATTCTATATTGTATTACTAAAGTATCATTTACAGTGTCTTAACTTAGCATTTCAGTGTAATTTCTATTTAGGTTTGTAACATCTAGAACTAAATCTGAGAATTGTATTTGATACACTTGAGGTCAGCCTGATGCTTAGGGTGGTCTCAAATTTGACAACAGCAGAGAAGACTTACCAGGCAAAAAGTAGTTAACTATCCATCTCTGCATCTTGCATATCCAGATTCCTTCTTATTTTAGTCCATGAGCATATCCTCATGATAGGTTAAAGCTGGAGAATATCAGCTTAATTCTCAATAGCACAGACACGCCTAGCTTTGGTCTAGGTCATCCAATAATGGACCAAAAGGGACCACTGAAGTGGCTGAGCCAGTCAAAGCCTTCACACATAAGAATAATCTTGGTAGTGTCCAGAGTCCTTTGGACCAGGTGAGACCCTCAAGCAAAATTAGCAGCTGTGTCACACTGGAGGTGCCACGGATGCCCCAGCATAGACAGTTTCTCTATGACCCTGCTGTAGCTTTCTTTTCACAATCTTTAAGGCTCTTTCTTCCTAGAAACTCTTGTTTTCCTTTTCATGAAGCTATGATACCCAATTTTCATTGTTCATCTCTGTTCACTTGGTCTCCTTCATCTCCTTTGCTATCTTTGCTTCTACGATCAATTCCCTAATTGTACATCCCCGCTCAGTGGCCAGTCCCAGTGCCCTCTACTGATTTTTTAAAACTGCAGAGAAATTACATTTTCATTGGCTTCAATAAATACTTGAACTCATTTGCATATGCCACAGCTGGTGTTCCTTCTACCAGTTTCGCTATTACCTCCCTAGTTTATCATCTGAAAGTACTACTTTAATCATATCACTTCTTACCTTAGAAATCTATGGTGAAACTTTGCTTTATTCAGTTTGTGTAAATTTATGGAGTGCAAGTGCAAGTTTGTTACAGGCATAGATGGTATAGTGGTGAAGTCAGGGCTTTTAGGGTATCTATCACTCGAATAGCACAGATTGTACCCATTAAGTGATTTCTTATCATCCACTCTCCGTCCAGGCCCTCATCCTTCTGAGTCTCCATTATCTATCATTCCACATAATGTATACACATTATTTAGCTCCCACTTATAGGTGAGAACATGTGATATTTTTCTTTCTGTGTCTGACTTAGTGAAACTTTATTTAATTTCCTGTTTTCTCAAATTTATATACCATGGAATCACTTTTCAAGGTAATAACAAACTAACCTCTGCAGAAGTAGGACTCTGGCCAGAGTTAACTGGCTCAAACCACTTTATGAACCACAGTAACAGCTTCCACTTATTGAGTACTTAACTATTGTCAGGCATTGAGTTTGTAGACATTTATTAATCTAATCCTCTTAGTAACTCATAAAAATGAGGGCAGACATCTTAATATGCCCATTTGAAAGATGAGGAATTGTATTTAGGGAGGTTAAATATTTGCCCAAGGGTTTCTAACAACCCAAATCCTGTGCTCTTGATGGCTAAGCTTAATAGTTGACTTCGAAATACTGTGCAGCTTTTTATGGCTTTTGTGTCCTCTTTGCTGTTCCTCTAACATTATTTCTTGATAGCATTATTGGCATTAGTGGTTTCTTCCTATTCTTTTTGAAATGTGCCACTAACTGAAAAACCATAAAACCAAGTTTATTATTAACTGAATTATGTGCAAAGTCAGAATCAACTGATTCCAAAGCCTGGGAAGCTCCAGTGTGAGCCCCACGCATGCCCCTGCAGTCATCTCCTTTGACTACCTAGAAAACTTTTTAATCAATCACTTTTCACCTGGGTTCTAACAACCTGATAGCTGATCTCTGTAATCCATCATCCATCTGGCTGCCAGGATGATCTATTGAAATCACAAGTGTGACCACAGTACTCCCTTGAGTAAAATGTTTAAGTGGTGCCCTCTGAATTAGAGGATCAAGTCTCGAAGTTGGCACATGAAGCCATGTGGTCTCTGCTTGTCTTTTTGGCCTTATTGCCCCACTGTTCCTTACCTTGCAGCCATGCTTCTAATCCTCCTGTGTACAAGCATTCAATCAGGCTGTTTCTTTCCTCTGTGCCTTTGTTCTTGCTGCCTACCTTCGCTTCTCATGTCTGGAAGCCCTTCTTCCTCATTACTTTATTAACTCCTACTCATTCTTTAAGATATGGCTTATAAGTCACCTCCTCCAAGAGATAGTCCTTGGCAACCTTCCCCAGCTCTGAAATGCTTGCCAAGAATCCCTCTCATTAGGGTCTGTGTATATCACTATTGTTTCTCATGTTCAAATGTACAGTGTTTAGTGAAATTGTCATTTATATACTGTGAGATTCTTAAGGGTACAACTATGTGGCCTAGTGATTTAGCATCTCCAAAGTGGTATAGAGTAGGAGCTCAATAAAAGTCTAATAAATTAAGTTTTTTAATCTATAAATGATAGAGTTTTCCCTGTGACTTGAGGTATCAAATTATTAATGTCTTAAGTAATGGCGGGCACACAGCAGGAAGTTAATGATACTTGTGAATAGAATAAAATGCAAGAATTAATGGATTTCAAAACTTTTTACTATCTGATTTCCTACAAATAAGTGCCATTTAATCAGACTGGCCTTTTTTCTATTTTTGCTTCATCTACAATTTGAATAGACCTTTAAGCCTTTGTTCATTCTCCCTAAAAATAACTACGGTCTTCTCTGTAATTAATAAGCAACATCCATCAAGAACACATACTCCATGAAGTTTCCACTTGTGACTGTGAGTTTTCCTAACTAAAGAAGTTTTGGGAAATGCTGCATTAAACAGTGTTAAATCATTTCCAAACTACAGGCCCACTCTGAACCTTTTAATTTGCAAATTTGCACTTTATGTTTTTAAGTGGAAGAAACCATATGCAGAACTTCTCAAACTTTTTTGTATGTTTAAAATCTTTTGGGGTTACAGTCCATGGGAGACACTTGGCAGATGCTCACCTACACTTGAACTGGATTTTTAGTTGTCATGTACAGTGATTTCAGATGCACACACACAGTCATGCACATGTACAGACACACAACCACTATATGGGTATATGTTCTGGCTGCTCTGCTAGGTTGCTTCTATTTTTCTTATGTCTTACATGTTTTCATTCATGTAATGGTTCACCTTCAATGGATAGCTAAAGAAATATTTAATATGTGTTGGTTGCTAAACCACTGCATACTATTGTCATTGTTTAAATGCTACTGATATGTTTTATAGGATCTTCTACCCCTCTTGCCGGGCACCGTTGCTGGTGAAATAAAAGCAAAGTCTGCAAACCTCAATAATTTGGTAGTGGAAGCCTATAAGGTATGTATATATTATATACAATTTTTAAAATAAACTGTTTATCCCAATTTATGTGGCAAGGTACAAAGTAGTTCCATGTCATCTTGAGAGGAGAAGTAGAAAGCATATTAGATTAGGAATTAAAAATCTGAAGTTCATCCCTGGCCATACCACTAACTAGCTTTCTGCTTTGGGAAAGTCATTTCTGCTTTCTGTGCCTCACTTGTCTCATTGATAATCAACTAAGATTGGGCTAGAGGCTATCTAATTTCCTTCTACATCCAATGCTCAGTGAATCACCAAATCATAGCTATAAACTGTACCTTATTACCATGAAATTGCATCATTTCTTCTGCCATAATGATAAAGTAGAAGTCCACGGTTACGTAAAGCAATAATCTGCCAGGGAAGCTGAACTATCTGGGATATAACAATTATTAAGAGGACTCTGTTGGAGTCTTTATGATCAACCACTTAATTTTTCAACAATTATTTTAGCAGTTTTATCAAAAGAGTTTGATGAAAAGAATCACCTTAGTAGATATTCTATTTTCTTGAGTTGATGGTTGTATGCTGTTGTCAGTCCTATGAAGAGTGAATGCTTCAATGCAAAGAATTTAAAGAAACACCTGTTCCTTCAACCTGGGTCATTCCTAGATAGAACCACCTCTGTTAAAATGTTGTGATAATAGTGACTGCTACTTTTTTCCAGTTACTTTCCATACATGATCTCATTCAGTTCTCACACCTGACCTGTAAGGCAGGTGGTTAGTACTCCCATTGTATATTAGTAGAAACCAAGACTCAGGAAAGTGAAACAAATTCATCAAAGGTTCCTCAACTAATAAGCAGAAGAAAGTGGAATCAGAATCCAGGTGTTCCTCTACTTCCAGCCTCAGGTGCTTCCTCCTGTGCAATAACACCTGTTTTTCATTGTTTTACAGGGTGTCAAAAGATATGCTTTATGCTACCTTGACTTTACCGGCCAACTATAAAGTCTCATTTTCCCAAATTCTCTGACTCCCTTCCTGACACATAAAGTTTAATAGTTAAATTGTAGCACAAAAATATTCTTTAGCAGCTTTATATGACAGAAGCATTTTCCATATTTTAAGTGTCAAGATTTACCCTTTGTGATGATATGTGTTCTCAATGTTTATTTAAACTTTATCATAAAATATAAGTATTACTGGATTAAAAATGACTATTTTGTTAACAGACTGAGAAATATCTTTGAAGGGCTTAAAATGGAGTCATGGAAATATGTAAAAAAAAAAACAGAATGTTTTGAATGAAAATAATCTAATCCTTCAGTATTTCTTATTTCAAATATGATTGGGTCATTATGTGGAAACACTGTTTTTATTCATCCTTTTATAGAAAGAGACTCTTCGATCTAGCTAAAATTAAATCTATGATTTAATAAGCTTGACTCTGCTTTGTTGCTTACATTTGAAACTACTATCATATGTAATTTAAAAAAATAATGTCTCTGCAGAAACTCATTTCAGAAGTGAAAGTTCAGGTGGAAAACCAGGTACAAGGCATCTATTTTAACATTACCGCCATCTGTCCAGATGGGTCCAGAAAGCCAGGCATGGATGGATGCAGAAACGTGACAAGCAATGATGAAGTATGTGGGTGTGCATTTTTCCCTTTTAAAATAAACTAAGTTGTCTGGCATACTTTCTTACAGAAAAATCAAACCATTCTGAAAAATTTTACTTATTATTGACTCTAAGTATCATATTTATATTTCAAGGTAATTTTATTGTTCCTCCTCAAATTTCCTATTTTAGTTCAGTTGATCTCTCCAACTCTCAGGTTTTAATATGTATATGGGTGTGTGATATTAAGCAATTATTTATCAATAGCAACTTTAAACTTAGGTGTCATGACCACTATAAATTAGGAAATCACACATCCTCAAATAAGTAGTGTCTATGTTTATAATAATGGTAATGCCTTTTCGGTTACATATTCACAAATTCTCAAAATAAATGTGAAATTGAAAGTCATATAACATAGAAAAGAATGGGAATGATAGAGCAGTTGAAAAAGGCTAAGAATTTCAAAATCTTTCACTTTGTGATTTCCCCAAAACACTCATAATTATTTAAATTATCTAAAAAGAAGTAGAGAAATTGGTTAAGAAAGACCAATACAAAATGAGAAGTGTCATCATTTACCAAAAAAGGATTGGGATGTAAAGAAGACAGACCCAGATTGTAACAGTATCAGGAAACAGCAGCAGAGGAGATAGAGATTCCCCAAGGACTGGCACAATAGAGACAGGAACACGGAGAAATAGACCTGTTAAGGGACTCTTTGCTGGGTGAAGTGATTTTGGGTGAGTCACTGACCTCATGACATTCCTTGTCTCATTTTTAAATGAATGACTTGGACTAGAAGATTTCTAACCCCTTTTCCACTAAGGTTTTATGATGATTAATTATGTAATGTCATGGTATAGAAAAAAAAGAAAAAGTTACTGAAAGTGATAGAAGATTCTAAAATTGAATAAAAGAAAATCCTCTCTGCTTTTTTGTCAGAATATTTTTTTATCTTAGGACTTTTAGAGCTGTATGTTTAAAATTAATTATTGCAAGTTTCAAATTCTGTAGTTTCTTCTATAATCACTGTCCTTGGATTTTGTTCAAAAAACATCATACACTAGTGTGCAAAACGCACTTTTGCTTTTCATTAAAACTACAGAGAAAACTTTTTACTAGCAAATATAGCACTAAGTTACTTTGTGAAAAAATGGTTACTCTCTAAGAAATAGTTATTTTCTTCAAAATCTCATTTTGGAAGAATGGTTTTTCTTACCTTTTACTTTTTTTTCTTTTCATTTGCTTATATATTATCTTTCCTTCACTTTCAGTTGAATAGTATAAATAGTTTAACTCTCAGGAATAATCATATGACCTCTTAATTACAGAAACCCCAGGGTTTGATCTACTGTTAGAGATGACAATGACCACATTAACATATCTGTTAATCCTCAGCATTCTCAAAAACAAAAGCATTTTAAGTATAACACCAATTATATTGATTTTTAACATTATGGAACCAATTCTAATGTTTCATGTATATATAAGCCTAAATTTAGATATTTTATATTATTATATGATCATATACATATATTCCAACCAAAAAGCTCAGCACAAATTAATTTTAAATTGTAATGGATCTCAGTCCAACATGAAAGAAACATAGCTTCTTATTTACCAAAGTACCCAAAGATGGTAAGATGATCCAACAAATATAAGTAGACATATTAAATAATTGTGTTGTGCAAAAAAGAAGAAATAGAGAAAAAGAAAACATTTGACCAATTCCTACCAGTGCAGTTCCTGAGTTCTGGGCTAACTTCTTCCACTGAGACAAATCAATGACCTGTGTTGATGTCTTAAGATTTGAAAATGAGAGTCCTAAACATTTTTCTTTTGAGTAAGATCAGAGAAAGCCGATGTTTTCCTCCACTGACATCCTTTATAAACTAAAATTTAACTCTGAAACTTTACTTGGGCTCCTAGAAAATAGGAACAAAATTTAAATGGTTTGTTTGAACATCTCATCTCAGGGTTTTGATTTTTTTTTTCCCCATTACGGAGTCTTGCTATGTAGCCCAGGATGGAGTACAGTGGTGTGATCTCAGCTCACTGCAACCTCCGTCTCCCAGGTTCAAGCCATTCTCCTGCCTCAGCTTCCCTCCAAGTACCTGGGACTATGGGTGCAGGCCACCACAACCAGCTAATTTTTTAATTTTTAGTAGAGAAGGCGTTTCACCATGTTGTCCAGGCTGGTCTCAAACTCCTGACCTCAGGTGATCCAACTGCCTCACCTTCCCAAAGTGCTAGGATCACAGGCATGAGCCATCTTGCCTAGCCTCATCTGAGTTTTAAACCAGTAGAGCAGAAGGCTTTGACTTTGGTTTATGTGCTCTATTCCTAGTGTCAAATATTCAACAACCCCACATTTTAATGACTGAACTTAGAAAATGGTCTATTCTTTCTCATGTTTGCTAAGAAATTAATCATCAGTGGTGGGGTAGATACTTCAAATAGGCTTGCACTCAAGTCTATTTAGTGGTGCAATATAGACATTAGTAATCATAATATTCTTTAACTCTCAAGTTCGTTAATTGGGAAATAAGTGACATTAAAAAGAGATGTTGCATATATGTGAAAGAGATTACATGTGTTTAACAAATATTGTTAATTTCTCCAAGATGGTTTCTTATCAATTCAATTAACAGATATAATATTGGGAATAAAAATAATCAAGGTATATAAATATATTTCCTTTTTCCTCCTAAATTTAGGTTCTTTTCAATGTAACAGTTACAATGAAAAAATGTGATGTCACAGGAGGAAAAAGCTATGCAATAATCAAACCTATTGGTTTTAATGAAACCACTAAAATTCATATACACAGAAACTGCAGTTGTCAGTGTGAGGACAACAGAGAACCTAAAGGAAAGTGTGTAGATGAAACTCTTCTGGATTCCAAGTGTTTCCAGTGTGAAGAGAATAAATGCCATTTTGATGAAGATCAGTTTTCTTCTGAGAGTTGCAAGTCACACGAGGACCAACCTGTTTGCAGTGGTCGAGGAGTTTGTGTTTGTGGGAAATGTTTATGTGACAAAATTAAGCTTGGAAAAGTGTATGGAAAATACTGTGAAATGGATGACTTTTCTTGCCCATATCATCATGGAAATCTGTGTGCTGGTGAGTATAAATATATACAGGCAACTTTTACTTGTCACTATTATACTAGCATAGATGTTAAAATATCTTTAAATCACATCTTTATAGATTACCAAAACTGAATCTGAATTTGTTAAAGTTTCATAGTGCATGAAATTAGGTCATGGCAATAGATTTATAGCATGTGATTTTGATATTTATATTTCAACCTATTTTTTTTACAGGAAATGCTTCAAAATAAAAACCTAAAATTAATTGTTAGTCTCATGCATTTTTTGATCTTAGGAAAAAATATACAAGAAAAGGAAATGCTGATGATGTCTGACACATTTTCTAGAAGAATCAGAGTATTCTTCTAGAAGGATCTGATTCATTCTGGTAAATGGTCACTCCCTCCAACTTGCTCAGAGGATTTTATTTCTGTCAGGATGATGGGGAGTGAGTTGTAAGAGTATACTTTTCATTCATTTGAAAATCCTTAATGCATTATTATAAATGGTATTCTAAGCTGGCAGTAATTTAAGCTTCTGCAGTTTATTTTGGGCCACCACCAGCAACAAAACTGCCAAAGGACAGCATTCTTCAAGAAAATATTGCTTGACTAAGTAATCTAAAAGACTTGTCCTTGAGGCCACACACAGACCAAATTTTAAAAATGGAACAAATTAAAATAAAAATACCAGGATTACTCTTGGGCCATTCAATTTACTGCCACCTACAGGTTAGAGTCCAGAAAATCTAATCAACATTTGCAAACTAAAACAAAATACTGTTTTAAAATGAATTAAACTACCCATTATCTGAGTTCTGTGATAATTTTCCTGTGGCAATGTGCTAAATTTACTCAATGTGAAAAAACATCTTTTTAGCATTTGCATTTTAGTAAATAAGTATTTGCTAAATTATTGATGAATGGAAACCGTCATCATAAGCGGTTGGGAAGCATATGGGAAGTAACGAACCTATAAAAAAAAGTTATAATCTAGTCTAGGCTGAAAATTTGGCCTGCATCACCTAAATGTGTAATGGAAAATTATCTTCCTATTCTATTACATACATAGGCTATTTTAATATACAAGCATTTATTCAACTGGAACTGACATCATGGGTAGGATGGATTATAGGTGACTTTAGAATGAACCAGCAGTTGTCTACCATATTTTCCAAGGAGGAAAAATGTTATTTTACAGTAAAGAGAAAGAATTTTTGAGGTCACATCCCACAGCTGTCAATCTCTCAAGAACGTTTCAAATACATTTGAGTATTTGTCCCAGTCTCTGCAGTAGAATATCAAAAAATTAACGTACTAGTTTTTCTATATGATTATGATACTACTGATCTACAAGCAGTTGATAATCTGTTTTGAATTGTTTCTGTATAAGTGCAGATTGTAACTGACATGTACTTTCTCCACTAGTCTCCTTTGGGAATAAAAACACATGTTCAGAGGCCTACTGGCTAGGATTCAGGATTCAGGAATCAGACAAATGTCAGGATTCAGACATTTGTCTGGCCTGGACCTCATTAGTTTTACACTTAGCAAATAAAGCTGGTCCTACAGTAGAATCTGTGGAACAATTACCCCGTGACGTGCTCAGCCATAAAAGAACAGAGAGAGGGAGCTAAGAAAGGAAAGAAAGAGTGAAGGAAGGAAAGGAGGGAGAGAAAAAGGAAAGGAGGAACAGAGGGAGAGAGGGAGAAAAGAGGAAGGTTGGCTTGTGGCTAGATAAGCTTCAGAAATCCTATATAATCATGTAAAATGTACCCCCTATTTCTACTGCACATTGGCATATTAAGTTTTGGACACTTTTTGCTGTCTAAAATCCATTTAACTATGTGTAACTGTGCTTTCTTTACCCGACATGCATAATTGTTCCCCCACGACACACACACCATCTTCCTTTCTTTTTTTCATTTACCATATAAGAAGACCTCACAGCATAGGGGCAGATCTGCCCTGCTAACTTACTAAATAATGCACTGAGGACATGAAAGCATCAACTTCTCAAGGGAGCTGATCTTTAAACATGGCACCAGCAGTACTGAAGCACTAGAAAGGTTTGCCTCACAGTTATCCTAGGCCTTCAGCAATATCAGAAGAAAGAAAATAGATTATGGAAACCATTAATCAAATACCTATATGATTCTCATTTCAAGTCAGACAGTTAACATTACTTTGGCCTTTGTAGTTTATTAATATGTGTGTGTTTTAAATTTAAAACTGAATATGCAATGATATTTAAGTAGTCTGGGAGCCACTGAAGCAGGGGTGCCTTCGTGCTTGTTAGCAGAGTTCATTAGCATGGAGAGATTATCTACCGTAGAACAGCTTTGAAAATAGATCTTCCTAAATCCATCACTGTTTGTGTCAGACCAACAAAAAAAGCATTGCTGTTTCCATTCATTGGACTGTTAGTGTGTTTCCATGGAGATGATACAGGAATCTATGGCTGAAAACTCTTTACAAAGTCAGTGATCCAGATAACATAGGTTCTGCGGTGTCTTCCTCACAGGGCATGGAGAGTGTGAAGCAGGCAAATGCCAATGCTTCAGTGGCTGGGAAGGAGATCGGTGCCAGTGCCCTTCAGCATCAGTCCAGCACTGTGTCAATTCACAGGGCCAGGTGTGCAGCGGAAGAGGCACATGTGTGTGTGGAAGGTGTAAGTGCACCGATCCCAGGAGCATCGGCCGCTTCTGTGAACACTGCCCCACCTGTCATGAGGCCTGCAAGGAAAACTGGTATGATTTCTCTAACTCCAAACACACATAAAGAATAGCTACTTTTGATCTTTTTTGTTCTGCCTTCCTTAATCTTAAAAGTTGCCGGATATATTGTTACCATCATGCCACAAAACAATTAAATGAGAAATGCTATGAATTAAAAGACTTGGATTCAAATCTTTGACTGCTGGATAGCTGTGGAAGCACCAGAATAAATCTGGACACTCATGACCTTACCTTTTTTGAAATAGGTTTTTGAAATCAGAAGTTGCCGGCTACCCAGCTTACTATTTAGTTATAGTGGGATCAATCTAGAACAAGTTGTTATAATTTTCTGTGCCTCAGTTTCCTGATATCAAAAGTCAGGATAGTAATAACAATATCTTGCTATATTTCTGCGAGATGATCAAATGATTCATATTTAAAAAAACTCAGCTTTGTACTTGATGCATGTCAATCATAGGATAAATGTTAGCTGTTACTGCTATGTTTTATTTTTAATATTTTAATGATAAAGAACAATGGTGTCTGTGACACACCCTAGAAATAAGTTACTGTTTTGTGTCAACAGATTTTTCAGTAGCAATTTGAGATTGGCACAGAGGCTACTAATCTAAACATCACTGTAACTTCCAGTTTGTTTTATTCAACATTTTAAACCATTGATTTTCTCAGATTAGTAGCTCAAGTAAGTTTTTTAGACTTATGCATGGTAATTTATTTTAATCATTTGGTAATGCAATCCTTCAACATAATGATGGAGTTCTTTCTAATAAACCTAATCAAAATTTGAATTGTCTCTGCATTGTTATTTTGTCTTTTTTTTCTTGCAGAAAATATTATAGTCTACCATCTTTTTAAAAAATGAATACTTTCACTTGTTTTCCCTTGCAGGAATTGTGTGCAATGCCCTCACCCTCACAATTTGTCTCAGGCTATACTTGATCAGTGCAAAACCTCATGTGCTCCCATGGAACAACAACAGCATTTTGTTGACCAAACATCAGGTAGGCCAAAGCTGCTTAATCAAAGCACAGAAGAGTGTCTGTAGAGGATGCTGTTCCCCAAAGACCCATACTAAAGAGAGGACTGGGCCGGACATGATGGCTCATGCCTGTGATCCCAGCACTTTGGGAGGCCATGGTGGGTGGATCACCTGAGGTCAGGAGTTCAAGATTAGCCTGGCCAACATAGTGAAACCCCATCTCTACTAAAAATACAAAATTAGCCAGGCATGGTGGTGGGCGCCTGTAATTCCGCTACTCAGGAGGCTTAGGCAGGAGAATCTCTTGAACCTGGGGAGGCAGAGGTTGCAATGAGCCGAGGTTGTGCCTTGCACTCCAGCCAGGACAACAAGAGCAAAATCCCATCTCAAAAAAAAAAAAAAGGACTGAGGGCTTCATTTTCAAATTATGAAATATTGCTTTATCCTTTATAGCATTGTTTTATTTTTAAACAGCTTTATTAAGTATCATTGATATAGAAAAACTGCACATATTAATATATATAATATAATGAGTTTGTGATTCAGTTTTTTAAATCTCCCAGAGATGGTACTCTATAACCAACTGAGTATGCTTGCCATAGTGTGGCTGAGTGGTTAGGTTTTCTGTCTGAGCTATACAGCTGAATCTCCATGTAATGTACTTCCGTGGAAGGGCATCCAAATAAATTGGCTAGCAAGGCCTCAGTAAACCAGAAATATGATTTCCCCACGTAGACTCATTTCACTAAGAGACAAAGCCTGTGGAGCAATAATTTTCCTTCATAATCCAAACTTTTGCTTCCAGTTCTGAATGTCCTCTTGTCTATTCAATCTTTGCTTTCATGTTTTAGGTGAAGCCAAAAAACTCTAAGTAGCAATGATCTGCTTTTGCAAAATACATAACTTCAGAAGGGCCATTCCTTCCCAGTAATTTTCATTTTGATAAAAATATAGCCTAGGGGTGAATGATTATAAATTTGACATAATGAAAAGGGTATGGAACTTTTAGTTTGAAGACCTTGGTCTAAGACATATCTCTTAACATTACTAGTTAAGAGATAGCAGCCTTCCTACAAAAATTTCCCTGAGCCTCAGTTTCCCCATCTGTAAAATGGAGATAATGCCAATCTCAGAGCTGGATGACGTTAAATGAGCCAGTGAACACGAAGGGAGTATCAAAGGTGAAAGATGACACATAAAATGGGGAACATGTGAGAGCTATACTCAAAGACTATTTTTAAACAAAAGTTAATTCGAACTTGCTGGCCTCGATGGCTCTCGCCTATAATCCCAGCACTTTGAGAGGCCAAGGTGGGTGGATCACCTGAGGTCAGGGGTTCGAGATCAGCCTGAGTAACATGGTGAAACCCCATCTCTACTAAAAATACAAAAGTGGCCAGGTGTGATGGCGCATGCCTGTAATCCCAGCTACTCGGGAGGCTGAGTTAGGAGAATTGCTTGAACCCGGGAGGCAGAAGTTTCAGTGAGCCGAGATCACACCATTGCACTCCAGGCTGAGCAACAAGAACAAAACTTTGCCTCAGAAAAACAATAACAAAAACAAAACAAAACAAAAAATGGTGTATTTAGAACCCAGAACCTTACTTTGTACAGGGGTAAGGTGTGGAACTCCACATGCATTAGAAACTAACCTTGAAATTCTATTTTTATTAAAAACATTCCTATTGCAACTATTATTTCAAGTCTCTCCAACCTGTAAGAAAAGTTCCATCTCTTAGAAAGACTGCACGAAAGAATACACTTTCTCCAGAGTTTTGCTTCCTTTTTCTCTCCCATCCACACTGATCTTAGCCCATAATGAACTTGGCTCTGAAAAGAGCCCAATGTGCTGCCAGCTGGAGCTGCAGCAATCACTCCAGAAAGCCAAGTGCCTTTCTAATAAATAGGGACTTAGTATCAACATGTCATTTATTATGTTAAGTAAACACTACTCTGACTTAAGTGTTGTTACAAAAAGTATTCCCTTAAAGCTTCTTAGGAAAAGCCCTGGTCTGACCTAAACTAAAGAAAGCATAGGCTAGGCATGAATGTTTGACCACTCATGGCATTTAAATATGCATACAGATTTGAGCTCTGAAAATGCCCTCTGTCCTAACCTATTAGAAATATTTCTAAAATGTCAGTAGCTAAGGAACCCCTCTCCCCTTCACAACTATTGTGCAAGGAGAGGGAAAGGGCATTTGTTAGGCACCTCTATTATCTGTCCACTCAGTCACACTTAAAGGCTGTTCTTTTAGTCTCTCTGGCTGAGCTTCCACCAGACGAGAAGCCAGTAAGTGGGATCAAGGCACCTGCCCCCTCTGAGGATCTGCCTTAGCTGATTGAGTAGTCCTAAATTAACCAAAGAAAATGACAGTCCATCAGAACAAAAGGCATGTGTGTTATGAGCCTGAAAAGTCACTGCGGAAGCCTCAAAAGACACCACCTTTGAGCAGAATATTTTGGATTCTTTCTCTGTGAGACCTGTAGCAACAGGGACCTGCAGTGGCATTTGGTATTTCCATTCCAATTGGAGTAGCCTTTGACTTTTCTTTCAAAGTATCTTATTACCAAAAAAAAAAAAAAAAAAAAAAAAAAAAAAGGATTAATTAAGTCTTTTCACTTGAGAGAAACCCTTGCCCATGTCACTGAGTTTTGCCTTATTCAAGAACATGCTTGGCCCTCACTGGAAATCCAAATCCCCCAGGATTGGGTGGTGCACTATTCTAAGCCTTGGTAGGTCACCTCCCTAATGGTCCTCTCAGGGAGACCTTGGAACTTTGGATGAGGTCCACAAAGTCTGGAGAGTGGGTGGGGGAACACATGCCTCTTTAGTTACAAAGTGCTTTCCTGAATCTGGGGCAGCTGGAGTGTTCCATGAGTACTTGGTTATTGTGCAACCATCTTCTTCTTAGATTAGGGTCAAGCCTCTGGCAACACCAGAGCCAGTAGACATTTTAGCGCCAGATCTTTGGCAATGAGGGTTTGCTAAAGATCTGGTGCTAAAATGAGATCTAGCATGTCCCTCATCTTAACACAGCATTTCTTTTCCAGTTAGTAATTATTTGTTCTAAGTATTATTTGTTCTTAAAATACACAGTGCATTTTTAGAGGCAAATGGAATAGGTATAATTAACAGCCAAGTAAAAAGTAAATTAATGAAAAATGAAGAAAGGTATTTTCATGTTGTCCCTTATTGGACACTCCTATTTCCTAGAGAAGCCATGTATAATAATAATGAAAAGTTATACTTCAATTTCTGAATAAATATTTATTTACCTATTAGTTTTGATTTAGCTTCTGCAGATGTTTATTTTCCATTACTGGCATGGAACAAAATGAAGATCAAGCATAGCAACAGAAAGATATACTTAGGTCCAGAACTGTTCAATAGTTTTTTAAAATCCTATTTTCCACTTAGTGATCAACAATACACACCACAAAAACTATTCCTCTTTCTGTCATGGATAAAATTATGCTTGGTTACGGGACATGGACATATTCCAGTTAATACAATTAAAGAATCAAGCTGCAAAGAAGTTATATGATTGAATATCTTAATCATGGCTATTCTCTAAAGGAGGATTTTCTATTGAAAATATTTTAATTGTAAGCATGCAAGAAAAGTTAGAGAGCTTACTGTTTTTGAGTCAAAAGGTAATTTCAGTGCCCTGTTTTGAAAATGTATATTTACAAATATCTCTGGCACTGTTAATTGAGGTGTAAACATCATTTACTTGATGGACTCTTTTGATTTACTTATTCCAATTTTTAATCCATTTATTTGTTTGCTTCATTACAGAATGTTTCTCCAGCCCAAGCTACTTGAGAATATTTTTCATCATTTTTATAGTTACATTTCTGATTGGGTTGCTTAAAGTCCTTATCATTAGACAAGTGATACTACAATGGAATAATAATAGAACGAAGTCCTCGTCAGATTACAGAGTGTCAGCCCCAAAAAAGGTCAGTGGATTCTAAAAAAAAAAAAAAAAATGCTCACAGTATGTTATTGCATACTTAAAATATTTAAGCTCATAATTAATAATATTTCTTCTCCATTAAGGATAAGTTGATTCTGCAAGGTGTCTGCACAAGAGCAGTAACCTACCGACGTGAGAAGCCTGAAGAAATCAAAATGGATATTAGCAAATTAAATGCTCATGAAACTTTCAGGTGCAACTTCTAAAAAACGATTTTTAAATGCCTAATGGGAAACTGGAATTTTTAATAATTGCTCCTAAAGATTATAATTCTAAAAGTCACAGGAGGAGACAGATTGCTCACGGTCATGCCAGTTGCTGGTTGTACACTCGAACAAAGTCTGACAAGCATCCTCATCATCGTGTGACTCACATAGCTGCTGAGTTTTTCAGAGAAAAATGTGTCTTACTACTGTTGGAGACTAGTGTCATTGTAGCACTTTACTGTAACATATAACTTATTTAGATCAGCATAGAATGTAGATCATCTGAAGAGCACTGATTACACTTTACAGGTACCTGCTGTCCCTATACTTCCCAGAGAGACCTGCTGTGAGAGGGTTTAGTATTGTGTCACTACAAAGGTACAGTAATCCCTGCACTGCACACGTGAGGGAAAAATAATCTGGCAAGTATATTCTAAGGTTGCCAAACACTTCAACAGTTGGTGGTTGAATAGACAAGAACAGCTAGATGAATAAATAATTCGTGTTTCACTCTTTCAAATGGTGAAGAGATAAAACCTTAATCTTAAGAGATTACTGCTTTTTAAAGTGTGTAGTTTTATACATGTGTGTTTATGGTTTGCTTCTTTTTACAAGATAGATACTAATTCCAGCATTCTCTCTTCTTTGCTTTGATGTTTTGTTTTTCTTCCTTACAGGATAAGTTTATATATGTCACAGATGACTGGATTAATTAAGTGCTAAATTACTACTGCCATAAAAACCTAATAATACAATGTCACTTTATTAAAATACTGGTTTTAAAAGCTGAATGTTAATAGGGAGCACATTAAGTTATCATCAAAACCTGAATAGCTTCATTGCACACAGGTGTGGAGTTTTGTATCCTCTTACCTGGTAAACTGAAGGGATTGGCCATTGCATTTGTCTGATCATTAATTCACAAGATATTTAGAAACTCTGCCTCAAGCAAAGTACCACATTTTGAATGTTTTCTTAGATTTTGACTCAAATAGATATCACCATTTTCAAATGAAAAGCTATGTTATCTTTTCCCTTCAATGCAGCCTAAGGATGTTCTTTCCCTGGATCACTCCAACCCTTCTTGCCAGAATTTATATTAAAAAAAAACAAAAACAAAATTGAAAGAGAATAGATGATATCTTAGAAATAAGCTATTTTTTCTTTTTTCTTTTTTGAGACAGAGTTTCACTTTTGTCACCCAGGCTGGAGTGCAATGGCTCCATCTGAGCTCACTGCTACCTCCGCCTCCCAGGTTCAAGCTATTCTCCTGCGTCAGTCTCCTGAGTAGCTGGGATTATAGGCACCCGCTGGCATGCCCAGTGAATTTTTGTATTTTTAGTAGAGACATGGTTTTGCCATGCTGGCCAGCTGATTTTAAACTCCTGACATCAGGTGATCCACCTGCCTCGGCCTCCCAAAGTGCTGGGATTAGAGACGTGAGCCACCATACCCGGCCACTAATTCTCCCTTTTTAGTGAGTTAGGGAACTGAGCCTCAGAAAACTTAAATGATTTCTAAAAAGACACTCAACTGATAAAGTGGCCACATTAGAGAGGAGTTTCTGTCTTCTCATTGCCAGGCCAGTGTTCATTGCACAATATCATGCTACCTCTTGAATCTTTAAAATACTCATTTGGCAAATGTTTTTCAATGTGATTTACTTGAGTCTTAAGTGTTTGAGAAGAGTTCAAAGCAAAAGAGAAAGAATAATTCAGCTTGCAGTCTTTCATGCTAATCAGCTTCTGAAGAGACTGAAGCATGGCATATGTACAGGCGAATTCCCTCGCACCAAAGCCTGCATGAACAGTGTTCCCTGGAGTTTTCCAGTGCTCAGCTTGAGACCTTGACACATGGGCTATGAGCCCTGTCTTCCCCAATGGAAATTTTTTTAGACTTACCTTATCCCTATGGACTTAGTCTGATTTTATTGGCTAGCAGTCTAACAGTCCTGTGTGGAGTACACAGTTTTGCCCATGACAACAAAGGACTCTATTTGAAATACCTTTTTATAATTAACTTCTATGATTTGCTGTCTTCCAGCACTTTAAAGTACCAGATATTTGCATTTTGATGAAGACTAACCCCATCCTATATTCTACTCTAAAGAGAACTGAAAAACCTATAATAAGTTGTTCAGCAGCTCCACTGGATGTCCTCTACAGCCAAGCAATTATAATGCTAATTTGAACTGTATTCCTTCCTCAAATGGGAGGCTGACATAATTCAGTGCCATGAGTCACTTGCATAAGAAACCTTTGATCACTAAAAATCATGTAAAAATTGCATGTAGTAGCCTAATACACATAACATTCTTTTTAAAAAGGAAAATGGATGGATGCCTGACAACTCTCTGAAAAAGTGTAAGAGAGTCATTAATTAAAATGATGACAGTGTTTGAAAGGAACATGATGATGTGTGTGAACAATAAACAAATTTCTGTATGTAATGAATTATCCAAAAGTTTTACAAAATGAAATCCTTAAGAAGCAAGGGTTTATATGTTTTACGCCCTAACTAGTTTGTACTAACTTTATAATGTACCAAGGCTGTAACCATAGGAAAGGACAAACTTCCTTGTAGGCAACTCAGTGTTAGATGATCGTGGTTATGCTTGCGAAGTCTTGTGCTTACTTTAAAAAAAAAAAAAAAAAAAAAAAAAAAAAAACTTAAAAAGCTAATTTTTAAAGATTGTAGGGCTTATATTTTACTTGAATGATTGATATTTTCCTGTTTAATGCTTTGTGGGATGAGAATAGTTGACTAGTTAGAATTAATTAAATGCTAAGGGAACACAGGGTATTCTTAAATTAAATAATTTATGTAAATAGACTCTGTTTTCAACTAATATGGCCACAGGAGCCTTTTGAGATTCATTGATATTAAACGCAATTAATGAAATTTTACATTGTTAACAGAATTGAGAACTTGAACAACACTTTTAGTACAGCAGCATTTTTGTGCCCTAAAGTAATGATTTATAAATGTGCCATACATACACTACAACATAACTTTTGCTTTATAATGCTTTTTATTTCTCTGGGGACACCATTGAACTGCAGTGCACATGTATTTATAAACATTTGTTATATTTTTGGAAACTTGGTAATATTTATTAACTCATAGACTTTTCTGGAAGACTTAAAATTTTCACTAAAATCTGATTATGTTTTAAATGTTCAGTTTAGCTTTGGTTTATAAAAATAACAAAAAAAAATCTAAAGTTAAACATAATAGATATATTTCTGGAGGCAATTTTTCAAAACTCAAAATTAAAATTTGTGGATTCATGATATGTAATACTTTAAATAAATCTGAAATATATTTTTAATATTTACTTAATATCCATTGAAGATATCCTTCCTTATGTAAGACAACAGGCAGCCATCAGACACTGAAATATGCTATGATAGACTATGAAGAATTTTCTCTGTAGAATTATATTCCTCCTGGAACCTGGTAAAGTAGATTAGACTCAAAGGCTTTTTCTGCCTTTTCTGACTCCTGCTTTTTCCACTCACTCTTCCCAAGATATTTTCTAAAGCTTCAAGCTTAGTAAGCCTAGTAGTGAAAAATAACTGAATTTAATAAAGTTCTTCATTTCCAGACATCTTTAATTGATCTTAAAGCTCATTTGAATCTATGCCCCTGAACAAAGACAGACCTATTAAAATCTAAGAATTCTGAATTTTCACAACTGTTTGAGCTTCTTTTCATTTTGAAGGATTTGGAATACATATAGTTTGGTAAAAGTATCAAGTGAAATAGAGTTACATGGGAGCTCAATCATGTGCATATTGTATTCTGTTTTGTTGACTCTCAATAATTAAATTACAACTACTCATTTATATTGACCTTAAGAATTCCATTTTATGCAATGCAGACCACTGAAATATATTTTCAAACAAGTATAAAGCTAATGTTCTTTCAGATAATTTTCCTTCCCTAATTCTTCTATAGCAAATTTTTTATGTATAACTGATTATACATATCCATATTTATATCTCAAAAGACATCACTTTTTTAAATTAAAATCTCTGCAATTATGACATCTTGCCATTGTTGGCACTTCAGATGCAGTGTTTTAAATTATGCTTGAATAAATATTACACTAATTCAACTTTAATGTTCACGAGTCTAGGGGAACTTTTTCTTATAAATATTTGAGAGCCCATTTATGATAACATGTGAAGCCAAAATTTCAGGACAACTGAGTCACATACCACTCAACATGGAGCCTAACTGCTTATCAGCTCGGCTCCTGCATATCCTTGAGTTTACAAAAGTTCTTTCAGGCCCCCACTTACACTTTATGTGAGTGCAAATAATTTCAGCAAACCCTAACTTAACCAACAAGAGTGGATGGGTTTGTTTCATTAACAGATTTTTATTCTTTTAATTCTGTGAGATCCTTTCATATTATCATCTCATTTTTAAACAAAATTAACTGGAAAGATATTACATGGAACTATGATAATTAGATTTTGGAGCATCTTGTATGCCTTGTATCAATGGCAGAAGAAAAATAAGATAAAACCAATCAGTGCTGTGAAAACCAACTTTCTTCTAGAGTCCTCTTACTTTTTATTCTTCTTTATCATTTGTTTTTTTTTCCTCCTTGGCTCTGATCACTTTAACTTCAAGCTTATGTAACGACTGTTATAAAACTGCATATTTAAATTATTTGAACTACATGAAATAATTGTTCAGCTATCTGGGCAGCTATTAATATGAGCCTGAGAGTAAGAACACTACTCTTTTATCTACCTGTAATACCTTCTGCATAAAACTTATCTTTGTAAGCTAACTCTATTCATCAGGTTTCTTCTAACCTCTACAACCTACTTCAATTAAAATTGTCTAATAAGTAATTTTTTTAAAAGAACTCCAATTGTCAAGGATGGAAAATGTGTGATTTGTGTAAAGAATTTTTATGAACTTTACACTTTCCTGCAGATAAATGTGAAATTTTGATAAGAACCCTACACAATGACAAGTATGGTACATAAATTTTATTAAGAATATTGAGTATAAAATACTTTAATTCTAAATTATAAGAAAATAAAAATTTGCTCATATTAATATAGAAATTCATTTTGTGCACATTAACATAGCTTTTAAACTATCTTACATTAGCTACTTCATTATGGTTTTTTGAACTTCTGAAAAAAATTAGAATTGTTTTAAGGTTATCAGTAACATAAAAACTTATTTTGTTTCACCTAACAAGTGCTGCATTTGTAAAAGGAAATTCAATACAGAATATATTTAAATTAAAATATTTAAATATAAAATAGCACTAAGAAATAAGCAAATTATCACTGAATGTATTTCTTATTATTTCTGGCTTTGAATTATACCTAACTTAAATTGTCTAAATGATACAGAATATTGGAGATTATGATACTTTTACATAATATATTATAAACCCGATCATATAACTCTGATTGACCACTAATCTCTGTTTTTTGTATTTATTAAATAGCTGACACTGTAGTTTGTTGTGAGATGTTTATTTTTCTAACAGAGCTTATAACAGGACAAGGCATTTGATTAATGCACCATTCTGTTTAAAAGTAGGTGTTAATATGAAATTGTTTTAAAATAAAAATATAAAACACAAAATGCTTCTTTATTTCCTGTGTGTTACATCACTCTCAAAGTTCCAGACAACAGTACATTGTACCACAAGGAAATGTAATAGCATCTACACACTGTCACCAGCAAAGGACATTACATAATTCCAAAAAGATACTATTCTAGAAAATTATAGGGCCAATGATGAACAAGGGAGGACATCCTGGCTGTTCTTTTCTTTTTTGATAGTTATTTGCGGTTGAAACAGAAAAAAATATTCTAATGAGAAAAACCTGAAAAAAATAGCTAAAAGTTAAAACAGGCATTTTCTACATGCCAGACTTCTACCATCTTAAGTATAACATCTTCATAACTTTCAATTACACGTTCTCAAGAGTCATACTTAATTGAATTTTATTGACTATCCATGTATTGTGATTTTCCTTTACCCTACAGGAGAGAATAAAGCAGAATGTGGTTGATATATTAAAAATAAGACATTTAGACTGATCATCTGTTCTTAAGGAGCTTTTAATAGTTTGAAGCAAAAGATAAAGTGTAATGCACCTGATACAATTCGGCTGTGTCCCCACCCAAATGTCATCTAGAGTTCCCACAAGTTGTAGGAGGGACTTAGTGGGAGGTATTGAATCATGGGGACAGATAATTCTGGTGCTATTCCTGTGACAGTGAATAAGTCTCACAAGATCCAAAGGTTTTAAGAAGGGGAATTTCCCTGCATAAGCTCTCTTTTCTTATCTGCCACCATTTGAGATGTGCCTTTTACCTTCTGCCATGATTGTGAGGTCTCCCAGCCACGTGGAACTGTAAGTCCAGTAAACCTCTTTATTTTTGTAAATTGCCTAGTCTTGGATATGTCCTTATCAGCAGTATGAAAACTAATACAGCACCTTTCAATAGAAGATCTGTGCTAGAGAGACCAGATGGACACTTAGCAGTAGGTTTCACAAGGCTTTTAGACTTGAGAACTCATCTCAATTGTGTTTGGACTACAGTCTTGCAAGCCTAGAGTCCTGATTTTTTTTTTTAATGAGTATTAATTGACCCATTTCTTCCTTTCTTCTTTAGTAAGAGAACCTACCTTTTGAGTTGCAGCAGAGCACAGTTGAGACTCCCAGACTATTTTGTAGCTGAATGTAAAGACAGAACTTAATGTGGGCCAGTGGGATGGAGGAGGAAGTGATATGTGCAGCCATGGGGCCCACTTCCTCTTCTTCCTTTTTGTTGTCTGGGACAACTGGAGCAGCTGTCCCAGCAAAGGAAACCTTGTGCTGAAATTGTTAGAGCTTCCCTTTTAGCCATTGACTGTTCACATCTAGACATCTCTGTTGGAAAACAATCTTAGCTGAACCATTGCATTTGATACTATAGCAGATAATCTGTACTGTAACCAGTGAAGTTTTCTCTATGTAATTGTCTCACTGAATAATCAGGAGTGAAAAGTATCATTTTCCTTAATTTTTCAAATAGGGAAAATATATCACAGAAAAGTTAAGGACCTTGTATGAATGCATGCAGCCAGTAAGTGGCACTTACTGCAGGATTCATATCCAGATCTATTTTGCTTTCCATAGGTAACTGATCATATGTATTGTGAGCACAGATTTTACTAGTTCAACAATCAGAATTCAACTTTTGTCCCCACACCCCATAAAACATATGCAATAAATAAAGCTGAGGAGTGGATATACGTGTACAAATGCTACACAGGAAAACATTAACAGTCTTTACAAAGACAAACAATATGTGAAGTGTACTCAGATGCCAGAGTTAGAAGAGTCAGGAGAATAAGAGGAAGCCCATGGAAGACAGCATCTGGCCTAGTCTTGCAAGAAAGGTATGAACATGGAGAAAGAGGAGGTAAATTGGGAGAATTTAGAAATGATAAAGTATAACCAAATGCAGGAAAGAGTGTGGACTCCATCCGTGAGCATTGAAATCATATTGAGAAATGGAAGAAATGGAATTACATAATGAAAGGCAGTCATTGACAGGTCCTAAGTTATGGACAGCTTGATTCCCAGGCTAAGAATTTTGAGCTTTGGTTACTGGGGCAAACTGTAAAAGTTCTGTACAGAAAAGTGGTATTACTGGAGTTAAACATGGTTGACATGTAATTACATCAACTCAATATAATTTAAGCATAAATTTTATTCCCTAATACTAAATGCAAATAGTAGTTGACACTATTAAATATTTAATGCTATTAAATGCTATCTAATACTAGATTTAAATACAATTTAATACTAGCATAAAAGAATTGGAAGCAAACTATTCAAAAGAAAAAAGATTTGAAATCTAACCTTCTAGTGTCAATCACTTTTATATGTAGGCATATTTTCATTTTATTTTTCTATGCACTTTATAACTGCTATTATACAGAAAATGCATATTTACTGTTAAATGTATTTATATGCATTATATAGATAATGCATATTTATTGTAATATCTATGTTAAAAATACCTACAAATTGTAATTAAAATAATTATTACTCTTATCCAACCACCCAGAGTTGGTCATTGCCATATATTTTTCAGGAAAAAAGTATATATATATATATAAAATAATATATGTAATTACATATTATATTAAATATAACAAATATATATTACAAATATATTAATATATTTGTGACTAAGAAATAAATATGCTATATACAGTCCAGTATAAAGATATTTCTTTCCAAAAATGTATCAACATTTATGTCGATTTCTAGCTGTTTTAATAGGTGAATATTGTCCCATAAACGTGCCACAATCACATTCACCGAGAGCCCTTATATTCACTGAGAAAAGAATGAACAGGTTATGATATAAAATATCAAACAATATTTAACAAGAAGGGAGTAGTTAAATTACTTTTGACTGGGGGAGACTTGCGCATTTGTAATGCAGAGGAGAAGGAGCCAGGGTAGAAAGAACTGTTTATGTTCTTATGTTGAGAAGGTTTGGATGCATCTGATGTACAACAGGAGGGCATTTCAAATTGTGACAAAGAAAAGTCAGTGAGGCCAGGCACAGAGGTTCACTCCTGTAATTCCAGCACTTTGTGGGTGCATTATCACTTGAGCTCAGTAGATGGAGACCAATCTGGGTAAAATGGTGAAACCCTGTCTCTACTACCAATACAAAAACTAGCTGGGCATGGTGGTGTGCACCTGAAGTCCCAGCTACTCGAGAAGATGAAGTGGGACATCACCTGAGCCCAGGAGGTTGAGGCTGCAGTGAGATGTGATCACACCATTACACTCCAGCCTGGGTGACAGAGTGAGACCTTGTCTCAAAAACATAAAAGAAAAGAAAAAAAATAAAAGTCAGTGAAATGAGCATAAAGGCTTTTTATGAAAAAGTAAAGCAGAAAGGCAGGAAATATGTGCTATTGCTAAAAGGAAGATTTGAAAGAACTTGGGGACTCACTAGATATAGGTGGTAAGGAAAAGAGTTAGTGGAAGCACCAGCTCCAAAAGACACTACAGGCTTCTATTCAAATGGGATAAAACTTCCAATCTGGTCTCACAAGCTACACTGGTCTTGCCAATCCATGTCTTTTAGACTAAATTCTAACTTTATCAAAATATTAGACAAGACAAAGCTGAGAAATTTTAAACCATGTCAATGATCATGCTTTCAAATTTATAAAAATAAACCTAATTGAAACATAATCACTTATGACATAATGACTTACAATGAATATTTTTGTCATAATTAGAAGCAGTGGTGGGCTGCACAAGAAAAACAATACTTTGTCTTTCAACACTGCCATCCTTTAGCACTGATGTGGGCTGGTGCATTATTTCATACTTAGGGGCCAGTGCTATTGGACTTCAATCAGTTACCTTAATATCAAAAAAAAAAAACTTCAGACTAGACTGGTGAGAGAAAAACTCTTTATTTTTTGGGCTTTGGCATGCTCTTGCTGTTTTACTTTGTTATGATTACAAAATTCATTCTAACCATAATTAATGAGAGATAATTATTCACTTAAAAAATCTTAATTTGCCATTTAATATTTTTCCCATTAAATACAGGATAATCTGTAAGTTCACAGTTATCCAAGACTAATTCCCAGACCGGAAGCATCAGTTTCATCTAGAAACTTGTAGAAATGCAGATTTGTTGGTCTCCATCCAGACCTTCTGAATCAGAAACTCTGGGACTGTGGCCCAGCAATGTTTTGTTTATTTTTCCCCCAGAAGCTTAATAGAAACCAGCAATGTGTTTTAACATGTAAGTGATCCTAATGCCCACTGATGCTTGAGAACCACCTCCAAAGAGTAAAAACTAGCATCAGATGACCAACAAGGTACAGAATATGCTCACCCCAGACAAAACTTTGTCTGATCTTGATGGGGAAGAAAATGTTCTAGGAAACATAGCAAGATTCTGTCTTTTTTTTTTTTTCCTAAATTAGCCAGGCCTGGTGGCACATGCCTGTAATCTCAGCCACTCCTGAGGCTGGGGCAGGAGGATTACTTGAGCCAAGGAGATCAAAGTGTCAATGAGCTATAATTACTCTGCTGCACCTCAGCCCGATTGACATAGTAAGATCCTGTCTCAGAAAAAAATGATATTGTTCTACAAGCACGCATCCAACTTTTCTCTATTTCACTAATTTTGCTCTTATTCTGGTAGTATGCCTGCTTTATTGAGGGTCTGGAAAAGGGAAAATGTCCCTCTGAGTGCCAATGACTAGCACATATACATATGTCTCTATATTTCGCTTCCCTTTTGCTAGTCATTGGCACTCATATGTATAAGGGTCAGTCAGACCCAAAAGATTAAGTGAAACAGCAGGGAAAAAAACATGTGTCTCATCATTGGAAAAATAAAGGCAGGGCAAAAGATGAGAGATTGTCAGTCAATAATTGCAGGGAGGAGGCAGAGGGGACTTGGATTAATGGAAAGTATAAATCTAGAAAGTATAACTTTGTCTAACATAATTTTCCATTATACTCCAACTAGAATGTAAGTATCTAGGTCTTCTTTGAGCCATGATGTCTGTATGTGTTCCATTTTTCTAGAAACAT